TTGTGTACAAGACAATGTGGTTGTATTTTACGTGGTGAATGTAAAAATAGATAAATTTTTTTATTTTTCTTTGCTTTAAATTAGAGTTAATATCTGGATCCAGATCTTGTAATTAGATCCGGATCTTATTACTAGGATTTGGATCTTGTGATTAGGTTCCTGATCCAGGTATTAACTCTACTTTGAATATATAAAAATATATTTACATATAATATAATGCGTTCATAAAAAAAAATTCATCTGTTTAATAAATTTTCACTGATTATGGAATAACGTATGTTGCTTTCAAAGCGACATAAATTGAGAAATGACGAAGAACACTGACATCATTCAATAAAATTTAAAAAAGACCTAATGACGCGAATGTCCAAACATTTTTAAAAACATGAAGACATAATAAAACTAAAATATTAAATCGGGACACTTTCATATTTTTACGTATCAAATATGAAAGTGTTTCGATTTAGTTATTTTTTTTAGACATGTGACGATATCAATTTAGATCATTATTTTATTATACTTTTCCATAGTAACAGAAATGATGCTAGTCAAAATTTTATATATATATATTTTTTTAGCCTTGATCTCATTAAAAATATACTTACGAATATATATTTGGTATTAATTCTTTACATATATTTGTATTGTATAATTTTTGTATAAAAAAAATAATTTTTTTTTTTTATTGCTAAACATTTTTCTCATAATCATGGATGACTTAAGGAAATTTGCTGGAAAATTGTACTTCGCAGACAATAAAAATTCGATTCCCTTGGAATGTAAAGAACCTAATATTTGCTCGATTTGTGGACGTGAAATTTCTTCTAATCTTTCGGAACCAGTAATTATACTCGATTGCAGGCACTTGTTTCACTGGACATGTATTATAAATTATAATCGTTGTCCCTGCAAATATGAAGGCTTTCATGAAATACCTAAAAGTCGGTATATAGAAATATCGCCTCCACCTTTTCTTAAAAAAATATTAAACCATGATCAACAAACGCAAGCCAATGTTCAACAAACGCAAGCCATTGTTCAACAATCGCAAGCTAATGTTCAACAAACGCAAGCCAATAATCCACAAATGCAAGCAAATTATCAAGCAAATTATCAACAAACGCAAGCACAAACGCAAGAAGCAAATGATCAAGAAGCAAATGATCAACAAACGCAAGAAGCAAATGATCAAACACAAGCAAATGATCAAGCAAATGATCAACAAACGCAAGCAAATGATCAAGCACAAGTTAATGAACCGGCTAATGATCAAGTACAAGTTAACGAACAGGCTAATGATCAAACCCGTGAACAGGTTAATATTATTGAAATTTATTTATGTATCGATATATATATATATATATATATGTTAATTTTATTAATTTTAATTAGGAAAATGAGTCAGCAGAAACATTAAAAGCTCCAACAGTATCGTCAAAAAAGCCACGCAAGCCAAAGATACCAAAAAAGTTAGAGCGAGTGGTCGAGGTTTTAACTACTGCCATGCCTCGTAAAATAACCGTCCCTGTCATTATAGATGATACAACCTCCAAATCGGCAGGAGAAATATTAGTTGATCTATATAATCTTGCCGAAAAAGCAGAAAAGAATACTGAAAATTGTAATGTGATGGAAATACGAAGGTGGTATAATTATGGTGAAAAATTTGAGAATCGAGTGAAAGAATTAACAAATGAAGGCATGGAAGACAGGTCGGCTCGTACATATATCTACAAGGATATGCTACGCCACCTTTCAGAATCAGGCTTAACAATAGGTAATCTTCGGCAGAAGACATACAAGGCGCGAAACTTATATTATTTATTTAGTAAAGTTGGCACTGAAAAAATTAATCAGGCCAGAATTTTTTCGGCTAATCAACTTTCAGAATTTAAGCGAGATGATATTGATGAAATTATTAGACAAGTAAAGCGTAGAAAGACTAGTTAAATTAGAATAATAATAATATATAGTGTAGAAAGATTAGAAATATATGTATTTTTATGTAGTTGCAATAAAAAAGTAAAATGTATTGAAATAAATATTACAATTTTTGCTCATTCACAGCACGTGTTTAAAAAAAAAAGTGTTCTGATTTAGTTATTTTTATTTTTATTAAATTGATTTGGTTTAAAATTATCGTAAAGCAGCATTAGGTTTTTACTGTCATTGGACAGTGTCAACATTAGATTGTTTTCATTTTCTTTAACTGTTAAAATCATCTTGGAAGGAATAGGGAATGCTAATAAAATAAATAGAAATAAAAGTGAAAATAGAGAGTATTAGTAGGGATGGTAGGTACTGATAAAATTTAAAAATTTTGCTAAGTTGAAATAGCTCGATTCAAATGCCACTCAAACTGCTATTCGAATTGCTATTCAACACTATTACATGACATTACAGACATGCATGTCCGCAAAGTCATGTAATAGTGTTGAATAGCAATTCGAATAGCAGTTTGAGTGGCATTTGAATCGGGCTATTTTAAATTTTACCAGTGGGGAATGATAATAGAATGAATAAAAATCACAATGGAGCAATGTTTAACTAGCATAAGCGAAATTTCTCAATAAAGCATAACAATACTAGTCATATATTATATGATTGATAATACACTGTCTTAAGAGAGGTGAATGAGCATATCGCACAAATTCGAATTCGACACATGAATCGTGATAAGATCGTTAAATGATTTAACGATTAGCACATGAATTATTTTTATGAATAGTTAAGTGTTGGCATATGGATCATTTTTTAAATAGATCTTTAAGTAGCTTAATGATACTACTGTAGATTTTATTAATTTATCTTTTAGAATTATCCTTAGAGAAATTTATGAAAACAAATTAATTAATACATATAGCTGTTAACTATAGCTTTTTATAGAGTATAATTTATCTATTACAGTATAAAATTATTTGTTTTACATGACTATAGTATATACATTATATAATTATTAAATGGCTTATATTTAGCCTGATTTGATGATTATTAGGAATTCATATTAAAATTGTCAATCGATTTTTAGGCCCTTTTTAAAGTTGATTATGCCGATTTGGAATATTACCCGTTAAAGTAGCATATAGATATAAATAGTTAGTTAATAGTATCGACTAACTATACATATATATTAACTATATATATAACTATATATATATTAACTAACTATTTATATCTGTGTATACTTTGGCACCTTTTAGCGATTAAGACTCTTTTCATTGGTATATCTATATTTACCTTAATATAGTAATACGAATAATTTATCTGGTTTAGTAAAAAAATTTGAATTGTTACGTATAATTCAAATATATATATAATACCGCACTGTTGAAAAAAAGTCTGAACCGCTGAAAGGGCCCTTTAACAGGTAATATCCAAAATTGGTATAATCAACTTTAAAAAGACTGTTGATCAGATTGACATTGAACAGTATGCAGGGTTTATTTATATTAAATATTTGTAGTTCAATCCTATGTAGATTATGGCAGCTACAGGTATTATGTAGAATATTTATCCATTACAATACCTATATATATAGCTATTATATTATAGATTATTAAAGATTTATAATAAGATATTTGAGCAATCGGCTTAGTAAGATTATAAAGACCTTCATATTAAAAAGAAAGGTAATAAAAAAAAAATCTTTACCCTTTTCGTTACGAGATTATATCTCGAAATTCTAGTAAATAAAACATGCATTATTAATCTCATCTGTTGTTCGATCGATGTTTAAAAAATATTTTTTAAAATAAATGCGTACCCCTTATATAGCACTTATACAGCGATCTTATATGGTAAATCACGGATTTGCTGTGTTTTTGGATTAGCTAATATAGTACAATTATCTATTTCTAACGAAAAATTGGCTAAAAAGGATATACGCATTGTCACGAAGTTGAAAGCATTGTATATAGTCTATGATCTTGCTCTTGCTGCGCTATATCGAGCTGAACTAGTCTGAGCAATGCAGAGCAGAAAAAATTTCAACGATTTTTCTTGATTGAAAGAATAGGCAGTTTCTCGTGGATCGATTATATCTGATTTCGTTATTTTTTCCGTTCTGATGAACGTACAGTACTACGTACGTATGAATCAAAAAGAATCTGTTGATTGTCATTCACATCACATTATGTTACATTACCCTATACTACATGAATTTGGTTTCTCTTACTTCACCAACAGCCATTTCACTGGCAATTCATTTAGCTGACATCACATAAGGTTAGGATTAGTATTTGATTCGTTGCGTGGTATCAGCTAAATGAGCTGTCGATGAAATGCTAAAGAAATAATGTAGAACTCATGAAACACTTCCTTATTCGCACTGTTACGGGGTGAATTGTAGGTTTAATAATCTATACTCTAAAATATAGACTTTTATGTCATAAGGCAACTCGCCAGAGGCGTGACGTTGGTGATTTAGTTAATTATAATATAAGAAATTATTATCGGGTTAGTGATATTATGTGCCCCTTCCTCGCACATAAGTGTCGTAACCAACCTTAACTAAGTTACGTCCTTTTTATAACTTAAATGACTAATGAGGCTTAAACAGATCTCACCTTATTGTATAGTGGCTTAATTTCTATCGGCCAAGATATATCGCAGATTGTCTAAGCCTTCGGCTCTATTGATTGACTATGATGTCAATCTAGCCCGTGACAGTACTATATGTCAAAATTATCCATGTCTGAAAACCATGTCATTAATTAAACTACTAAATTTTTTTTTATTTATTTATTGCTGTTTTCGTTTGAGTTGATGTGAAGTCGACAGATCAAAATGATGCTAAGCAGGGGTAATGTACTCGTGAGACCAATAACAGGAATGGGAGCAATCATGTCCAAGTCAACTACGTACGTGATTTCAATACCTTCCGTATGCATCAGCCGTTAATCTGCCGCAAGAATAAAGGTAAACTCATGGGGAAGTGCAACTATATGGTTCTACGCCAACAATCACCAACTCAAATGCATTAACCATAATTTGCGACTCAAGCCCTCCTTCCCTAGAGAACCTGCCATTTTTATGCTTATATCTTTGTTATAACTGCTGAAATATCAATATCATATGTTCACTGCCAGCGCTAAGCCAACTGCTAACAATGAAAATATTAATTGCAATTTCCAGGAACTTAATCAATCTTGGTTTTAATTATGCATAACGATAAATTAGGGATTAGAACAACTTAAAATTTTCTTAACCGTTTAATCGTTTAACTGCATTAACGTTTAATTAAAATTTTCCCAGCCCATGATCAACATAATTCGACCCGACATTATAAGTTGATTAACTTGAATATTGAATTTTTTTCGAGATTAGTGAGTCCTATAATTACAATAAATTAACTACATAAATTGTTTGCCATATATTAGTACTATCGTCTCTATCTAATTTACCTAACATTTTACAAAGTTAACTACCCACATTTCAAACTTTAAATTATGGTTATCTATTTATAATATTATTAAGCATATTGTTGTAGGCAACTGGCCGATAGCACAAGCAAACCAACCACCACCAAACAACCACCAAACCACACAATATACCCAATGGTTTAGAGACGATTACGATTTGGCAAAGTAAGTCTAAATCAGGTATATTATAGGATAAAAAGCAACTTCGTCACGACTTTTTTTATCCAACTTTCACTACTCTTTATTAGGGCAAAAAGAGCCCAATTTTTACATGCGGGGGAGGGGCAAAAAGAAGAAGAAAAAAAAGAACTTTTTCCAATCTAAGCTCGAAAACCAGAGCATGCCATTTTTGGCTTTGCTTGGCTCTCTGTTTACAAACAGAGAGACTTTTTTATGGGCTTGCTCCTTTAGCCTCATCTTTTTTACCGTGGTCTTGGTGCTTCGTGGGAGCTTCAATTCGGGTCCTTTGTCGCGGTTTTGGGTCCCGTGACGTCGAATTCGGCGCGGCGAATTTTGGTGGTTTTGCCACCAACAAAATCTAAACCTTAATAAACCTAAAATTTACACAGACGATAACAACCTCTCTTTTTCTTTTATGTTCAATATTTATTTATATTATATAATTTTTAACTTTGTTATCTATAGCAATCTTAAAAATTATTCATACGGGTTAAAAACTTTCACTGGATTATTGTGACGATCTCTTCGTAAATCGCAAATATATTTTATTTATACGAATGTCTATTACAGTACATATTTTATCGTTTTGCAAACCATAATAAAAAAATATTGATTAATTGCCTTCATAACGGTAGACCTATCGTTAGAATCATTAGATTAGTTAACGACCATAATGTAAATTTGTTTATTAAGATGTCTGGGACAAATTGATATTTAAGGCACTATGCTTCTTTCTATGACAAATTTTAAAAGAAAACATTTCAGAAAGTCACAGGTATGAGCATGTAATCCTTCATATACGTAAATAAACTAATAATTATAAACCAAAATTGAGAATGGAGATTCCACTATGTAGATTCTCTTAGTGGTAAATCATACAGCATTAATTTTCGTAATTTGTTATTGAGAAATCTGATGAACAAACTTTCAAACGTATTAAGTGATAAAAAAAGTATATTATTGAGATTCAGTCATTTTTTTAACAAATTGTAAATTTCGTTTATCGCTTTTTGCAAAATAGTGCGACAATAATGTTTTTGAGTTTGATCGCTGGTTTCAATCAATGAATCCCATGAATCCTGCATGTTACAATTGTTTAACAATAGCAACATGTAAGATTCATGGGATTCACAAAATTCAATGATCACACTAGATCGAAAACAGCGATACTGTAAACCAATGATAATATGTAGAATTCACAAAATCATTTGTCGAAATTCTGTATATTGCATTGTTTATAATAGTCATATGCAGGATTCAAAACCATTATTTGCCGCGTTATTCTGCAAAAAGCGATAAATTATCAATTTATTGATTAGTTATTGATCAATTAATTAAAACACAAAATGAATTTTCTTATGCAACTTTATGATCTTCAATTAATCGTTATATTTCAACCTTTATAGTATTTGTTATTGTTTTATTTAATAATCGTATATAAATTTATTCAGCGCTCTAATCAATTAAGGTACTCTTCAACTTAATTATTTTTTTTTAACTCCCTTTAAATATTTCAATCGCCTAATTCATATAATATATTTACGTAATAAGGATATTAACGTAATACAGTAATAAGGTCGTAATTTAATTACCTTCATATAAAAAACTCGTCAACCCGGTTTTTAAAATAGATCGTATGACGCAAGTATAAGTGACAGTTACGACAATATTTTTACATTTTTTTAATTCATATCGATATACGTACGTCTTCAAATTTGACTGATCTTAAACGATCACATTCCAATAGGTAACCAGTCTTCTATATATAGGCTTTGTCACAATAACAATTTCCTAAAATTCTTTTTTCTCATGGCATCAAAAATATTTACGGGCGGTATGCCCGAATTAATGGAAATTATCCTTAATAATATAAAAGATGACTTTCATTATTCTTTATACTCATGCGCACTTGTAAACCGACATTGGTGTAAAATTTCAATTCCTATTCTCTGGCGAGGCCCATTTTTATTCTTTCAAAACCCGTTGTTTATTTCTAATTATTTTTCTTCTCTTGATGAAACTGAAAAACTCATTTTAAAAGAATATGGACTGAATGTAGAATTTTCTAAAACATTATTTGATTATTCAAGATTTCTAAAGACTCTCGATTTATCTTATCTGGAACTTAACGTTAAAAAATGGATTGAATTAAAGCTTACTTGTTCGAAACCATATAATGGTCCATTGATATCTCACATAAGTAATTTATTACTTAAATTATTTATTGAGAGTGGCACTTCATTGCACAAGTTTGATATGTATTTTTCTGAACCTAGCGAAATTACTGGTAAAATTAAACCAGAGATCTTTCACTCGTTAGGACGAAATGAACAATTTTTCTCTCAACTCCAAGATTTGACCTTAGGTGTAATATCAGAACTCAACTGCGAAAATGCTATTGCACTATTAAATATCTTTGCAAAAAGTACTACAAAGATTAGTACTATGAAAATTTATGAATTTTATCCTCATTATGATCCTCAAGTAATTCACGCAATTATACGCATTATTAAATCACAAGAGAAACTTCGGCAATTCTGTATGAATGGTGGTGACCTTCCTAAAAAGTTCCACGGCATTATTTCGGCTTTAGAGAGTCAAAAACATTCATTACGAGAGGTTATATTAGAAGGTTGTGGTTATAGTTCAGAGTTCAAGACGTTGATGAATTGCGAAAATCTAGAAATTCTTCGCATCAGATATAGCGATCATAGGAAAATATTGAAAATACTTGATCATAAAATCCGAACTTTGGAGATAGCTACTTGCGAGATTGATGCATCGGAAATTACGTTAATTTTTGAAAAGTCCGGCGAATTATTACAACGACTAAAGCTTGAATCATTAGATGCGATGATTATAGAAGATTCATTATTAGTAGAAGCACTTAAGTCCTTCTGTCCAAACATTACATATCTTGACATTACATGTATTGAGTTTTCATTACAACTCCTAGATCTTATCAGTAATTTACAAAAACTTCAATTCCTCACGTTAGGGTGTTCATGGTGTATTGATGAAATATTGGATGATGAACATGTTATGCAGTTTGCAGAAATATTGCCATTAACACTGCAATATCTTAACTTAAGGAGTTCTTGTTTAAATTCATTTATTGATATTTTACTCAAAAATTGCTATGCACCCTTAAAAAGACTGATAATTAATGACATTGGTAATAAGAAAAAAGTCAAAGCGTTAATCAAATTTTACAAACGAAATAGAACTTTGAGTTACGTGGGAGTAAATAGATATTGGGAATTGAATTTGGAAGTGGATGATAATGTTAGAAAAGTGGAAAAATATGTTAAAGTAGTACCATATGAAGAAATTGTTGTCGAATGCTAAATTCTAGATTCTGTAAATTCCTTTTTTTTTTTTTTATTAGTCTTTAGACATGTTAGCTTCATTTATAAATTTATAAATATCATGGTTTTTAATACAGTAATGAATAAATAGAGTATCAGCGGTAATATAATTTCTTTGAAAATTAACAAACATTTGAAAAAAAAAATTTATAAATAATAAAAGTAATTCGTGTCCAAATAATAAATTTGTTAATGGATGTAAAATCCGGATCAAAGCTTAATGTATAAATATAAAGATCACGAACTCATCATTAATTTCATATTAATTTAGTATAAGAAAATGATACTACAGTACTACAGCACTAATTACTACGAACGATAGTCACCTTAAATCACGTCAACTGTTTGTGTAACACAGACGATCACTTTATTTACTTTATGATAAACAAATATTTAATGTTCTGATGTTAAATCAATTTACTTTATTTCCGTATTTTTATTTCCGTATTTTTCTCGTGAACCTTTATTTACGTGCATAATAAGATGACAGTAAAATTTTTTGAAAAACTTTCAAACAATTATCTTGAACTTCTTGACGATAATGAAGATTTTAACGTAATCATAAAAGTTGGTGAATCTTCCGATACCAAGATATTTCGAGCACATTCAACTATTCTGAGATATAGGTCTTCGTATTTTCGTAAAGAATTAACAAGCGCCAGTAAAGATAAAAACAATATTAAAATGATTAGGTTAAAGCATATCTCTATTCAACAGTTCGATATTATTATCAAGTAAGTCATCAAATACTTTGAATACTTTATCATGTCTTTCTTTTCTTTTTTTTTTTAAATAGTTAACGATATTAATAAATTTTATATAAAGGTATATCTATGGAGGCATAATTTTATTGGAAAATCTTGATTCATCATTTATTTTCGAGCTCATGCTGGTTGCTTGTGAATTTTTCCTTGAAGAATTAGCTAAATATCTCGAGGCTTATTTAATTAAAGAATCACACTGGCTTCGTTTACATTTGATTTATGTTTACCGAAAATGTTTCCAAAATAGAATTCTTCAAGAATTACAAAGTTGGTGCAACGAAATTGCATTAAAATATCCAGATAAAGTTTTTGAATCTGAAGATTTTACATCACTTCAAGAAAATGAATTAATCTCTTTGATTAAACGTGATGATTTACAAATGGAAGAAGTGAAAATTTGGAATTGTGTCATCAAATGGGGAATTGCTCAAAATCCTAATTTACCACTTGATCTTAAAGATTGGTCTAATGAAAATTTTATTACTTTAAAGACTACTTTACAAAATTGTTTACATTTTATTCGTTACTTTCATATTTCTGGTGATGGTATTTACAATAGTGTAAAACCATATAAACAAATTCTCGAAAAAGGTCTTTGGAATGATATAAAAATTCGACTCATGGCTCTCAGTCAACCAATAACATCAACGATCCTTCCACCTCGTATTATTTTACCACAAACAAGATCTATAGAATCATTTTCAAAAATCATTAGTGGATTACATGCTGCAGAAATTGCTTCATGGGTCGATAATAAAAATAATATATATTCAGTAGCAAATAATCCCTATGAATTTAAATTACTTCTCCGTGGAAGCAGAGATGGTTTCAATATTGAATCGTTCTGGAATTTATGTAATAAGAAAGCAAACATTGTTGTAGTAATAAAAATTAAAGGCACTGACGAAATTCTTGGTGGATATAATCCTATTGGATGGGAATATAGCGATACTTATCGAACGAAGAATTGCAATAAATGCTTTATTTTTTCATTAAAAAATGGTTCTATTAAAAAATCTATTTTAAATCGTATAAAAGATCCAAAAAACGCAATTGGTAATCATCGTGAAGCTTTTGGATTTATTAAAGGATTTTCTATGAAAGGAAATAAAGGGACTTGCTACTGTGTTGAACCTTTTTACATATATATTAGAGATGCATCAACATACAATGATGATGGACGTTCACGTTTTTTGGTAGATGAATATGAAATTTTCCAAATTCATAAAAAAATATCATAATTAACTAAAGTTATAATATACTATATCTATTATAGATTTCATTTTTTTTCATAGAAATTTAAATAAATAATATAGCATTAAGTGTTTGTGGGATCGTTTATCAATAAATTAGAAATCACTTTTAAACGTTCATTAAATAAATCATTAATTGTTAACAATTACAGAATTAGTATAAATTATGTTTATTATTGAATAACTTGATTATCCGAAGACTCTTTTAAAGATTTTTTTTTAAAAAATAAATAGTTAAATATAAAAACCTCAAATTTCATATTTAGACCTATCAGGACAAATATTTGCAAGTATTATCGCCATTATTGGGTAACATACAATTGTATCAGGTATAATTATATTAAAAGTTTCAACTAGAAAACCTTTTTCTGTAATATCCAAATAATGCTGTTAAACATTCTTTATTACAGTAATGAATTACGACCGGAGATTGCTCCCGAAGCACCAAATTGCTATATAATTTACATATAAATATATTAAAAGTAATCCATTAAAGAAGCCAACTACTAAAGAAATTTAAAAAATTTTGAGAATGGTAAGATCTTTATTACGTTGAAACAAACTCAGTTCAACAAAGTTAAATATAGAGCATGTCCTAACTTATAGATCCTGCAGGTAAACATAATATGATTTTGCTTTAATATTTCATTGCCTAAAGTATTACAATTAGGATGGTTTGCTTGGTATTATATGTAATTTACTTCTTTATTAATACATCAAGATACGTAGGTTGTTTTTATATGCTTCGTATTTTTGTTATCCGGATTCTAGATTGCATAATCCTGTATGAGGCTAAATTCGTGACACCTCAGTTTATATACGTACATACATAAGTATATACATCGTTTTTTGTTTCTTGCAGAATTTAATTCTTACTTATCCGATTTACCAGCTACATAGGTACCTCATGTAAAAATTTCTTTTTGCCACACTTTATTTTATTAGCAATCAGCAAAAATATTTTCTTACGGATATATATCGTAATTTTGCGTATTTATCTGAACTAAATTTTTGATAGTTTAGTAACTAATATTTCTCACACTCAGAAAATTACCCAAGTCTTACTATCTACTGTAGTTTATTTCAATTATCTTGATTATATTAAAGACACTATGGTAAACGCCCAAGAATGGTTAGATCAAAACTATACGAAAGAAAATAGAAAAGAAATTAACCGGTTGGAAATCCATAATAAAAATTTGGAGGGTCAACTAGAACTAGCTGATTTTATTAGTTTAAAATATTTAAATTGTTCTAGTAACAAATTAACTAGTTTAAATCTTATAGATTGTCAAAAACTAGAAGTGATTCGTTGTTATTTTAATGAAATCCGGTTATTAAATTTGCCAAAATTGAATCAACTTCGAGAATTTGACACTGGTTATAACCTGCTCACTGACCTTGTTTAATCCAGAAAATTTGCTTTATTTGAAATTGCATAGCAATAATTTTAATAGTAAGGATATAGATTGGTTTTCTCCTTTTACTAAATTGGAAATTTTATTGATTGATAATGATACCAAAGATAGAATTGAGAAAAATATTTATAATCGTTTCTATGGTAGTTTAAGATCTTTGCAAAATATGAATAATTTAAAAATTCTTGATATTCGAGCTATAGATGTTGAAAAAGGTTTAGAGTATTTACCGGCTGAAATTAAAGAATTTCAGTATTCTTCAATTTGGCTTAGACCAGAAGCTAAAGTACAAAATATTCTTCGTGAACTACAACTTCAGTTGAAGGATTTATCTAGTATAATAATCCAAATAATCCTTATAATTTTCTTGAACTAAGGCAAGAAATTACTCGTCTCAAATATCAAGAATTGGCCCCAAAAGTTCGTAATAAAAAAACCGGATTTGAGAAGCTAATGGTAAATCTAAAAGAAAAGGCCGGAGAAGGTTTTGCTCATATAATTGACTTACTGATAACAGCCCATCAGCAAAAAGAGCAAGCCACTGATCTTTCCCAAAAAGATAAGCTAAGTGGTAAAATAGAAGCTTATCAAGAAATTTTAGTAGGAGGTAATCTAACTAAAGAGGAATTACAAATCTTTCTTGATCAACAAACTGAACTTTCACAATTAGAAGAACACTTAAATAGCTTTATCATTAATGATTAACAAGGATAACCAGATCTACAGAACGTTTTTCAAAGGTCATTAACGAAGAACATGCAGCCGAAATTGCTTCATGGACAGATAATAAAAATGATATATATTCAATAGCAATAATCCCTATGAATTTAAATTACTTCTCCGTGCAAGCAGAGATGGTTTCACTGTTGTAGTATTAAAAGTTAAAGACAAGACACTGATGAAATTCTTGCGGATATAATCCTATTGGATGGGAATATTATGATACTTATCAGAAGAAATATTGCAATGATTGCTTTATTTTTTCATTAAAAAATAGATCTATTAAAACGTCAATCCTGAGTCGTGTAAAAAATCAGATGAGGCAATTTGTAGTGATCGTGACCTCTTAGGATTTCTTAGTGGTCTTACTATAAAAAAAAATAGCTGGCGTTGTCCCTATAATAGCCAGAGTATCAACTATGAAAGAATTAGAGATGCATGTTCAAACAATAATTATGGATTTTCGGTTTTTTCAGTGGATAAATATGAAATATTCCAAATTCATAAAAAAGCATGGTTGTATATCAGAATCCCGATATACAAAATCCTGTCACACAAAATCCCGGCAACAAAATCCCAATACACAAAATCCCAACAAATTAAAATCCTAAAAATATTAAAATTAGGAATTTAATTTGTCAGGATTTTGTGTATTGGGATTTTGTTGCCGGGATTTTGTGTGTTAGGATTTTGTGTGTCGGGATTCTGATATACAACCAAAAAGCATAATAAATATCTATTGTAAAAACTTCATATATAATAACTTACTATTTCATTCTTTATTCCTTTATTATAATATTTAAAGTCGAAAGGGATCTGGAAAGTAACTTTGAAATAAATAAATCATATAACATTAAGTGTTCGTTAGATCGTTTATCAATAAATTAGCAAATCACTTTCGAACATAAATAGACATGAAGTGACTATTTGTGAATAAGTAAATAAATCCATATTAAAATTTTAAAAAGATTACAATATGATATTTTCAATTGGATAGAAACATTTAATGATTCAAAATAATTGAACTACTAAAATATAGGAATCCTAAATTTCAGATTTAGCCTTATAATGATAAATAAAAAAATACCCCGATTTTTTTATTATATACACACAAATAACTGGGAGGTATTTTAGTAGTTTTTAAACATAACCGGGATATTACCCTTTAATAACAACCCAGGAAATTATTACAGCATATTTTAATTAATTTTTTTTTTTTTTTTTTTTTTTTTTTTTTTTTTACATTTACAGCTTAAAAAAAAAAAAACTAATTATACGACTAAGAAAAATTGTAACTTTACAATTAGTAAAGTTAAAATTTAAACCCTTAGACTGAAATCCTTGAGATCGAGATCGGGTAGGTGAGTTGGCCCGGTCTTCTTTGCTTTTATCATTCTTATCGATATTTTCATCGTCGGATTCATTGTTACTTTCATTTTCACAGTTAATTTTATCATTACCGTCACCTTCATTGCTTTCTTCAGTTTCATTATTAAATATAAAAATTTAAAATCTTTTTAAATATTAGCGTGTAATAAATATAAAATAAATATAAAATATAATATGTTGTACCATTTGTGTACTAGATGGTACTACAAGTTTTGCAATGTTAAGCCGTATGTAAGAGACTGGTTGACAATTTTTCTACCAGTGCAATTGATACCCGTAATGGAGCAAATTTCTTCATAAACCAGGATAACTTGTCACGACCTAAATGACGGTTTGAGCACCAAATATCATTTAAAAAGTATAACTAAACATAAGAAGAAAAAAAAAACAGAAAAAAAAAACAAGAAAAAAATATAGTACATATACCAAAATAATTAATAATTGGATGAAGAAAAAATTCTTCGTCTACATTAGAAGATCGTTTTGTCATATAGAGTTTGATAACAGTTAGCCCATACACCTTTTGGGTATATTTGGTTTTTCAATTTTTTTTCGAATTTTGGATAGATCACCATAAGTAGAATGAAAATCGGAAGCTTTACTATTATTGCTCAATCAGAGACTTTATTACTACTAAGCATTGAAGAAACATATGGGAATAGGTCTGCTATCACCAAAAACTGGCTCTAGCTTATAGCTAACAAAATAAAAGAAACTACTAACAAATAAAAGAAACTACTAACAAAATGAATAACTACTAACAAATATAAAAGAACCTACTAAACTATCTGTCATATCTATACAATATGAACACTTCTATATAACATAAACTCAAAGAGGTAAATACTAATTATTATAATTACAACTCTATTTCTATGTTGAAAGGCAGCTTATTATTTACATAGCTGCAAAGAGAATCAGAATACTGCTGCTGATATACTTGTAGTATGAAGGCACTGAGTGCTAAAAAAGGTCTTCACACCTTTACTGCCCGTAGAGCCTACACATCAAAATCCATGGTCCTTGCACTACTTGTAGCTGCTGAACCTAACAAAGAAGATAATTAGTCCTAGCACTACTGCAGCCTCAGAGCCTACACTAGTGTTTTGGGCAAAATACATTTCCAAAATCTGAAAGGTGAAACCGAAATCCTCCCAAAGGCGAAATTATTCCAAAATTTCCGAAATTTTCAAAATGGGCAAAATTTCTGAATTTCAGCAAAACCGAAATGGCGAAATATCTGAAACATTCTGTTTTTTTTTTTTTTTTTTTTTTTTTTTTTTTTTAATATTGCTTAATTATACTTACTTTTTAGATTTCTATTTTGTATTATTTGTTATTAACATTTAATTTTCTCTATTTTAATACAGTGAGTAGGCAAATTTGCCTGCAAAAATATAGTAATATGTGAAATATACATAATACTAGATAAATTAACTTAATTTAGATAATTTAATAAATATTTATTTAAAATTTATAGTATTACATATATTTAAGATAAAAAAACCTAATTTAAATAAAAGGAAAAAATCTTAATTATATATAATAATATAAAATAAAATTTATAAAAATAAAATTTATAAAAAATATAAAATTTAAAATATAAAAGATAAAATTTTAAAAATATAAATAAAAAATCTTAATAAAATTTAAAAATATTTAAAAATATAAAATATAAATAAAAAATTAAAAAATATATGAAATAAATTAAAATATTTATAATTTAAATATTTTCAATTATTTTATTTACTTCTTCAATTAGATCTCAATCAATATCTTCTTGTAGTTGATTTGTTAAAGAAGTTTTTTCTCTATTCTCAGTATAATAATCTTCATCTATACTAAAATCATCATCTTCAAATTCATTTTTAAATTTATTTACATTTAAAATATTATTTAATAATAAATTTGTTTCTTCACTTAAATTAGTATTTTCTTTACTTTCATTTAAATCTACTTCAGTAATTTCAACAAAATCATCTTCATCTGAATTTAAATATTCATCAACTAAAATTTTAAAAACTTCGGTTTTTGTTTTTTTCTATACCAAAATATGATAATTCTTGCTTAGCATATGAATAGTAATATAATGCAATTTTATACATATTTTCTATTTTATGAAGTGCTAATCTACTTCTTCTTGCTTCATATAACCATCCTAATTTTGACTATATACGTTCACATCCAGCAGCATGTGGAACAATTGAAAATAATTTTAATGCTAATTGAACTAATTAATTTTCACCTTTAGGAAAACTATCTTCAAGAGAAAACCACCAAATAAGTAAAGTTTTTGATGTACAAAACAAAATATCAAATGGTGGTTCTCTTGTTCTATATAATTTCATTTGATATAATAATTCTCATCTTGAAATATTTGAT